GTCTGTGCCAGTCCTAAGGTTTGAACTCAGGGCCTGAGTGCTGTCCCTGAACTTTTTTTCTTGAGCCACACTGTTCCACTTTTGGCTTTTTTTTTTTTTAATGACTAATTGGAGATAAAGAGTTTCACGGTCTTTCCTGCCTGGGCTGACTTCAAACTTTGATCCTAAAATCTCAGCCTCCTGAGTTGCTAGGATTTCAGGCATGAGCCACTGCACCCAACATTTTTTTTTCCGCCCATCCTCAGTTGGATGAAGCCAGGATGGAGGACCCTGGGATACACAGGGCTGAAGGGAACACTGCATCATTTGTTTACTCATGAAGGAAGAAAATGAGTTAGACAGAAACAGGGAATTCAGAGTAGCAGCTGTGTTTGGGGAGAAATCAAATAGAAACAAGGCTCAGGCTCAGGGACTTGCAGTTCAATTATAAAATTTAAAAAATTGAAGCCAAAAAATAATGATTGAGCTAAACGCTAGTGGCTCACCTGTAATCCTAGCTACTCAGAAGGCTAAGATCAGAGGATCGTGGTTCAAAGCCAGCCTAAGCAGCAAATTCTATGACTCTTATCACCAATTAACCACCAATAGGAAATGGCTCAAATGGTAGAGTGTTAGTGCAATAAGCTTCCCTTCCCATAGCTTAGCATGCTCCTAGGCAACACTAGCTGCAGAAGTGTTTACCAAGAGCCTACTACTTAGTTCTGCATCCATTAATATCTGTGTTCCGTTCTCGGTGCTGGGCAGAACAGACCAGCTCCCTCACTTGTGGGAGAGGGGATGCCAGGGATGGCTGGGGAAGCTCAAACAGCTCTGGAGAGGGGGGAGTGGCTCATGAAGGCAAACTGCCTGCGACAGCAGGGCAGCAGTCAGGTGATAATGCAGGAGGGAAGCGAGGAAGGACAGTGCAGTGTTAGCACTGGTCATATCTGCGTGGTAGGAATACTATAAGCAGCTGCTGCTTATAGTATGCTGTGCATTTTCTCCTGATTTCACAAAAGGGAGGGACGGAAGGAAGGAGGAAAGGAGAAGAAGAGAGATAGAAAAAGAGGGAGAGGGGAGGAAGGAAAGAAGGAAGGAGGGAATGACGGAAGGAAGGAAGGAAGGAAGACAAGACACTTGGTGGTAGGTATATACCTGTAATTCTTCCAGAGGTGGATAGGATGGTGTGGTTCTAGGCCAGCTGGCAAAAGTTAGTGTGAGAGCCTGTCTGAAGAAACCAAATGAAAGACAAAAAGGCCTGGGGTCATGGCTCGGGGGTAGAGTGCTTGCTTGGTAGGTGAGGCCTCACACAGAGAAGGAACTAGAACAGAGGTTGTCCTGAGTCTTAGCCAGCCCCTCTTGGAGGGTTTCCAAATTGAAAGTCTTTTCCAGAAGGTTTGGGGCTGATTTGAGGGCTGGATCCTGGGAAGAGATAACCCAGGGGAGGGAGGTTTGGGAGGGGCGAGGGCTTGGAGGCTCCCGTGGCTCCCTTTTTCAAATCACCAGGGTTCTCTCTAAGGCTTTTTTTTTGGGGGGGGGATCTGCTTTTCTCTCTCTCTCTCTCTTTTTCTCTCTTTCTTTGTTTCTTTCTTTCTTCTTTTTTTGTGTCAGTTGTGGGGCTTGGGCTCTGGCGCTCTTCAGCTCTGCAGCTCAAGGCGAGCACTCTATCACTTGAGCCACAGCGCCACTTCTGCTTTTCTGGTGGCTCATTGGAGGTAAAGGGTTTCACAGACTTTCTGGCCCTGGCTGACTCTGAGCCAGAATCCTCAGATCTCAGGCTCCTGAGTAGCAAGGATGACTGGCGTGAGCCGGCTCTGGGTGAGCATTTCTGCCGGGTGTTTCAGGCCCCACTGTGGCATGGCCCACTAAGCTGATTTGCCATAGGCCAGGAGGCAGGTGGAGGGAAGATGCCTTCAGGTGACAGTTGGAAGGTTCTAGCAGTCACTGGATTCTCTTTCCTACTCAGTGATTTTAGGATGTGAGTCGTGAAGGGGCTGAATGAGCATACCCCGGGGGTGCCCAGATAATTGGGACCCTGGGGCCGAGAGGTGGCTTGTTCTGGAGGCTGCTGGGTGAGGAAGTTTGAGGGGGTCTCCTTTGAAAAGCTGCAGGAAAGGATGCCCAGGGCCTCTGGGCTCTGGGGGCCTCTGGGGGCCAGGTCAGAAGCAGCAGCAGGCTTTGTGACTGCTTCTGAGAATGCTGGCGCGCGGGGAGGGGTGGAGGAGAACCCTGCCCCACCCAGCACACCACAATTAAACCGTCCAAACCACCTAACCCACAACACCTGCCACATTCTCAGGACAGTTTCTCAAAAGTTGTCTCTCAGCCACTTGGCAGCTCATAAAAAAGCCATGGCCAGGTTCTTAGCAGCTACAGGAGTGGGGCCCAGGGATTTGCATATTGAACAAAGCTTCTCATGAGTCTTTGGCTGACTGAAGAATCTGCTGTTTCCTCCCAAAGGTCCACTGGAACCTGGCCTCCCCCTCCATGGAGTGGGTGTGCATTTAACAACCTGGATATTGAGCCAGGAGCTGGTGGCTCATGCTTGTAATCTCAGCTACACAGGGGGCTCAGATCTGGAAGCTGGCCATCCTGGGCAGAAAAATCCACTAAATATGGTCTCCAAAACAGCCATCAAAAAGCTGGGCTGGGCTAGCTAGGCGCTGGTGGTTCACGCCTGTCAGCCCAGCTACTCAGGAGGCTGAGATCTGAGGATCACGGTTCAAAGCCAGCCTGGGCAGGAAAGTTCGTGAGACTCTGATCTCCAATAAACCACTCAAAAACCGGAAGTGTTGCTGTGGCTCAAGAGGAAGAGCGCCCAGGCCCAGAGTTCAAGCCTCACGACCAACCAAAAAAAAAAAAAAAAGCTGGGGGCTGGGAAGGTGGCTCAGTGGTAGAGTGTTGGCCTCGCATGCTTGAGGCCCTGGGTTCGATTCCTCAGCACCACATAAGCAGAAAAAGTCAGAAGTGGCGCTGTGGCTCAAGTGGTAGAATGCTAGCCTTGAGCTAAAGAGCTGAGGAACAGCGCCCAGGCACAGAGTTTGGGCTCCACGACTGACCAAAAAAAAAGCTGGGTTGAACCCAGTGAGACCAAAGGATACTCTGAGGAGAGGAACACAAAGGCGTAATGCCTATGTGCCTCTGATCATATAAACACATATTTATGGAAATGAGCTCGAGGAAATGGAAACAAAGCAAAATGGCACCACCACAACAAAAAGGCTGAGCTGGACGTATGGCTCGAGTGGTAGAGTACCAGCCAAGTTAGCAAGCCAGTCACCAGCATGCGGCCCCAAGCCCAAGAGGCTGGATTAAAGGTAGGAACTCATGGCAGGTGATTCCCATGTTTGAAGTTCCTGATGATGCCATTCACTGGCTGCAGGGGTGAGTTATGTGGACCCTCTGGGTAGGTGGGCAGACATCGGGGAGAACTACTGTGTCTCCTGGCCTTTGGTCTCTCTTAGGGGCTGAAGACTCCTCTAAACTGCTCCTATGGGAGCCAGAAGAAACGTGTGCGCATGCCAGTGGCTGCCTCCCCCGCTCCCCCCCCCCCCCCCCCCGTTCTCCCCCTCCCCCCGCCCCTGCAAGATGAAAGGTTCAGCACTCCAGTTCATGTTGTAGAAACTTGTGGAAACCAGGTGGGATTTTCCATCCCCAGGAGGCCACTTCCCAGTTTCTCACTCTACACCTAGAAGTACCATCCTTGTGACCTGCCTCACGGGGGTTTGTGGCCCAGAGTCGGTCTCTCTGGGTCTCCTTTAGCAGCCTTCAGTGAAGAGATGGGGGTGAGTGGGGGTGAGGGAGAACCGCGAGCTGCCTGCCAGCCTCTAAACTGTCCTGTACGCTAGAGGAATATGTTCTGGCCACCCAGGGCTGGCTCTCACACTGGGGCTGGCACTTGTCCTCAGAGGAGACGGGGGCAGCTAGAGGGGGTGCTCAGTAATGAAGGCAATCCCTGGGAAGCCAGCCCCCCCTTGCCTTAGCCTGAGAGCCAGCAGCCCCGGGACCTCTGGCTTCCTGCGTGGCTTTCCCCCATAGCCTCAGTTTACCTGCCAGCTGAAGGGACTCAGAGAGGAGGACAGGGCAGCATCTGCTCACCTGAAGAGCTCTATGAATATTTAAAGACAAACCCATGAAAACCAGCATGAATAGCTAATGCATTACATTATGCTTCAGAAAGCTGGGAACTGGTGCCTCGGGCCTGTAATTCTAGGTACTCAGGAGGCTGAGATTTGGGGATCGAGGGATGAAGCCAGTCCAGGTAGACAAAGCCATGGGATTCTTATCTCCATTTAATCAGCAAAAAGCGGAAACCACTTTCGGCTCAAGAGGTAGAATGTCAGGCTTGAGCAGAAAAAAAGCTAAGCAAGCACAAGGCCTGGAATTCACACGCAGTCTTAGCACACACATTTCAGAGATGTCGACCTTGTAAGCAGACACCTGATGTGCACGAAGCGTATCCTGTACACACACGCCATATCACAGGTATGATGTGTCTTCAGAACAACCCCATGACGGTGCGCAGAGACTCGCCCAGGTGGCCTGGCTCTCGGATCTGAGTGCATGAGCTTGCACACTTCGGCCCCCAGCGTGGGTGTCACCTTTGGGGACAGGTTAGTGTCCTGTCTCCAGGGGGGATCGGGGAAGCTGATGAGACAGAAAGAGGAAGTGGAGGCCCAGCAGGTGGAGAGGCCCAGCCGGCGAGGCCACAAGCTAGGTGGGCGCCGGGTTCCGGTGCGTTTTTCTCGCCCTCCCCAGTGCAGGGCGGGTGGAGGGGAAGCAGCGCCCAGCGCGGGGAATGGAGAGCCCGGGGTGGAGGTGCCCGACCCCGAGGCTGTCAGCGGGCGAGAGGCCGGGGAGGGCTGGGGGGCGTGCCCGCGGGCGCCGGCCACGCCCCTTCGCCCGGCCACGCCCCTTTCCCGCCCCCCAGCCGACTCCGGACTCGCAGCGGCCTCGGGCTTTCGCTTTCAGTCACCGACGCGGGGTCGGAGGCTGCGGAGCCTCGAGCCCGGGGACCCGGACCCGGACCGGACCGGACCGGACCATGGCGCGCGCCGCCGCCGCCTGGGCCGTGCTGGCCGTCGGGCTGCAGCTCTGGGCCGCGGCGCGCGGCGTGCCCGCCCAGGTGGGTGACCCGCTCAGCCGTTCGGGGCCGGGGGCGCCGGGGCGCCGCTGGGACCCGCTGGGGACCGCAGGCCTGGGACGCACCCCGGTTCCTCCGCGAGCCCCGGGGGCCCCCCACTTACCCCTGCGGGGAGGGACTGGGCCGGGGCGCGCGGATTCTCCTTTCTTAGAAACACCTGGGCTGCGAGTCGGGAAGCCGGGCCCTGGGGGCGGGGTGGGGGCTGGGGGGGAGGGGGTGGGGGTGGGGTGGGGGGAGGGGTGGGGGAGGGGGAGTAGCCAGCCGCTGCCCGGCGTCCAGTCAGGGCCGCGTCTGCTCTGGGAGTTTATTGAGCAGGACAGACATGCTCGCCAAGGGGCTCCAGAGACACGGAGGCCCCCCCGAGAATGGAGACACCCCCGTATTCAGCCTTCACCTCACCCTCCACAATAGCGGGGGGGGGGGGGGGGGAAGAGGGGGTTTGAGTTTTGTAAAGGGAGCAGATCCTTTCCTTTGAGGGAGTTCACTGTATGGTAAGGTAAGGTCAGCCCCCTTTCACAGAGAAGGGAAACTGAGGCCTGGAGAAGTCATGTTTCAAGGAAGGCATGGGAGGAGCCCTTCGTGGGCATCTTCATGGTGGGGCAGTGCGCCTACCGGCCCACCTGGGAGGGAGGAAGGTGAGGTGGCCTTGGCTGTGGTGACGGAAGGTGACTCAGTCACCACCTGGACCAGGAGACCCGTTGTCAAGGGCTGTCAGACCAGAACTGACTCACTCACTCACCGTGGGTTCCGGGAGGGAGCTGGAGGGGGCATGGTCAGGGGAGGTCCAAGGTGGCCTCTGGGTCAGGACTGTCCAGACTAGACCAGAGTTGAGCGATGTGCAGCTGAGTGAGTGTGAGGGCTGCGTGTGAATGTGGGCGGGCTGTAGTGCCCAGCCTGACGTGGGTCATGTCACAGGCGCTGGCTTTTGGAGGGAACTTGGGTCTGCCTGGGTTACCCTTGGAGGCCTGGTGACAGGGCAGGGGGACTGCCAGATGCAGGACTTTGAGGGACCCGCGGAAGGAGTTCTGGAGTTGCTTGAGGGATTTCTCCCCATTTCCTTCCCTTTCAGACCTTCTTAGTCAGCTCTGACTCTTGCTGCCTAAAATACTTGCTATGAACTGTTTAGCTGACCTGTCCCTGTGTCTTGCAGCTTGAACTCAGGACCTGGGTGCTGTCCCTTAGCCTTTTCTGCTCACTCATGGTGCTTTACCACTGTTTGAGCCATAGCTCTACTTCTGGCTTTTTGGCAGTTCACTTGGAGATAAGAGTCTCATGAATGCAGTTCTCAGATCTCAGCCTTCTGGGTAGCTAGGGTTACAAGGCGTGAGCTACCAGCGCCTGGGCGCATTGTGTTGTTAAATCTGGTTGTGTCTTACCCAGGTTGGTGCATAGAAAGGTCCTGAAAACCAGGACTGTGGGTTCCTCCTCCTGGCTAGCAGTACCATACATAGCCCTGAGGTTTGGGACCACCTACATGTTGTGTCGGGTGCTGTGCTAGAAACTCTGCCACAGCGTTGAGCTGTTAACCTCCTTTCTAGCAGCTTTTACAAGGTGGGTGGTTCCTGTTGAGAGGTGGGAAGGGTCTAGAGAGGTCATGCCATTTCCTGAGCCCAGGGGGCTGGGGGTGAGGGTGGGGGTGATGAGGGGGTAGGATTCGAATGCGGTCTCACCTGACCTAAAGCTCTTTTCCTACACCCTCCCCATGCCTGCGTCCCACCCCTGCCTGCAGTCGTCACCTCTAAGTGGGTTGGAGACTTTGCCTCTTTCAACTGCTCTGTCTGCCAGCTAGTGTGGACTGCATTGTTTTATTCATTCATTCATTCATTCACGAACACCAGTGAGGCAGGCAGGATTGGCGAGGGCTGGGTGCCCTCTGATGGAGCCACACTGCTGCTAGCTAGTCAAGACCTTTCCAACCCTTGTGACCTGAGCCCAGTAAGTATTACATAGATCTTGGGGCCCTGGCCCAATGGCTGAGTGACCCTTCATGGCCCTTCCCACCCGTGCTTCCCAGAGGAGTAGCCTGGGTGGTTCTAGAGGATGGGAAGAGTTTGCTGCTGGCTGTGGTATGTGCGTATCATGTTCGCTCCATGCTGTCTGTCACCTCGATCCTCAATGTTATGCCCAGCTGGCTGCTTTTCTATTGGTGAACATGCTGCACATGCACACAAGCCTCAGGACCGGCACACCCCTTTTCCCTTTTCCCTTGAGTGCTCCTCTACCGCCATCTCCTGAGCTTGTCTCCATTCTGCTCAATGCACCCTGTAGCCTACAGTAGCTACCTGCCAGCTGCTCTTGCTCACCTGATGTGCCCATTACAGCTGTTGGGCAATGTCCCTTGCTTCCACACACTCACTTCACTTGTGACAATCAGCTAGTGAGAAACATGAGGAACAGGAGCTCCTGGTTGGAGATCCAGTACCTGCTACATAATCGGCTTTCAAAGGAGATTGAACGAGCTGGGAACAGTGGCTCAAGCCTGTAATCCTAGCTACTTGGGAGGCTGAGATTTGAAGGATTGAGATTTGACGCTAGCTCAGGCAAAAAGTTCACAAGTTCAACCAATAAAAAGCCGAATGAGGTGTGTGCCTGTCACCCCAGCTAGAAGGGAGGCATAGGTCTGTGGGCCAGACCATGAGGCAAAATGAGAACTTATTTGAAAAATAATGAAAGCAAAAAGGGATAGAGGGAGTGGCATAAATGGTAGAGCACCTGGCCATGAGTTCAAATCCCACCCCCTCACCTCCAAAAAAGAGCTTGAACATATATTTAAAAAAAATTATAATGGCCTCATTTGTGTGTGTGTGCGTGTGTGTGCGTGTGCGCGTGTGCGTGTGCGTGTGCGTATGTGTGCATGCACATATGCTAGTGCTGGGGCTTGAACTCGTCTGGACACTGTCCCTTAGCTTTTTTGCTCAAGGCTAGTGCTCTACTACTTGAGCCACAGCTCACTTTTGTTTCTTGGTGGTTAATTGGAGAAAAGGTCTCCATAGGCTTTCTTGCCTGGGCTGGCTTCAAACTGATCCTCAGATCTCAGCCTTGAGTAGCCAGCCGCTGGTGCCTGGCCTGACCTGATTGTACAGATGAAACAGAAGAGTTTGATAGGCCAGCGGGGGTGCTGGCTGGGTTCCATCTTGCCTGTCTCTCTAGGGCCTTCCTCTGGTTTTTCCTTCGTGTTGCATGAGGTCAGCAGAGGCCAGAGTCCTTTCCCTAAAGTGCTCACGCCTCCATGTGCCCGCTCCGGCTGTCTGCTGGAGGTGACTCAGGCCTCAGTGGGCATGCAAGTATTCACTGTGGCTTCCAGACATGCTCTCGCTCTGCTGGGGGGGGGGGTGAGAGGAGGGAGGGTGGGGAGAGGGAGCTTCCGTGGGGCTGGGCTGTGTCCCCCTCCACTGCCCATCCTGCTGCAGTGCTGGGTTGCTGGGACTACAAGTATTTTATAGCCTGTGGCAGCTGCTCAGCTGGCTGGCAGCTTTGTGGGCAGGGGGCCAAGGCAGGTACCACAGTCAGCTCAGAGTCTCTGATAGCCATGAGGCCCTGAATCTTGGGTGGCAGATCTTCAGTTGCCCACAATTCCTGCCCAGCACCCCACTAGCAACTTCCTTCCTACTTGCCTTTTCCTGCTGGCTTCCTGCCCCATCCAGTGCCCCGACCCACGCTTCCCCTGTTACCTGCTCCATGGTCTGGCCTCAGGCCCCCACATGGTCGCCACTTTCTTACCTTGCAGAGGTGTATGTCATTTGGGGTGAAGAGGGTGCTTTTGATAAAATACAGAGGGGTGCAGGTGGTCTCTAAACCTATTTGTCTCTGTGGGGCCGAGGCTCTGTGTCACTCTGAGGGGGAGGGAGAAGCCCCGTGGGGCTCTTCTGAGCTGTCCCCAAATGCCTTCCAGGAAGCACAGAGTGAGTGGCTCTGAGGAAGATCTGGGTGTTGGGAGAGTGGAGATCACGGCTAGCTGTGTGGTCTTATAAGTCCCTTAACATCTCTGGGCAGAGGCCTCACTGCCGGTGAAAGTATGACTGGCCTGCTCTGAGTGTGCCTGACAGTGAGGTGGGGCTGGGGTTCCAAGTCTCCCCAGGAATGTCTTTGTCCCCCAGCATGTCATCTTGCTCACCCCAGTGCCACTTGCTTTCGCTGAAATTATTTCCCTGCTTGGGCCCAGTAAGACTTTGTGGCTGCCAGTCCCCTCTCGGGAAGCTGCCGCATCAGCTGAAGCCGCAGGCAGAGCTGGGGCTCTTGGGGCACCGCTCTGCTGCTCTGTCCCGCAGCGCTTCTCACAGGCCTGCAGCTAGCTCCTTCCCCAGATGCAGGGAGCGTGTGCAGGTCTGTGGCAATGGGCTGGGGGTCTGCAACCCACAGCCCGACGTAGTCCATGAGCACAGAGGGCCTTTGTCACGTCACTGGCACAGTCACCTGCCCCTTGGTCGTGGTTCTGCGTGGGGTGATTGGTTTGCCCCCCCCCCCCACACCCTATCCCTGGTGCCCACACCCTTTTTCCATCGTGACGCCTTGTGATGTCACAGCAGACGGTGACACTGCTGTGGTTTGGAGGGGAGAGGAGGAAGTGTGTGCAGCCCAGTGAATCTGTGTGTGTGTGCGTGTGTGCGTGTGTGCACGTGTGTATGCCCACACCTGTATTGGGCCTTCAGCTCCCCGCCTGCCACTCTCTCTTAGTTTTTCTGCTCTACCACTTGAGCCACACACACCTCCGCTTGCAGTCACCACGTCTGGTGACTGACTGTCCCTGCCACACCAGTTGTTGGTTGTCTGAAGCGGCTGGAGGGCCAGTTCTCAGGCCCTGGGCGAACCTGCAGCCCTAGTGACTGAGTTCCACAGGGAAAACTGACAGCACAGGGTGACTTTTGTTCCAGAGTGCTAGGGTCCTTCAGATGCCCAGGCAGAGACAGAGCAGGAATCCCCAGAGCATTGTTTCTGGCTTGGCTTTGATCTCAGCCTGACCGAGGCCCTGACAGTCAAGCTGC